GGGCTCCCTGCTCCGCGGGAAGCCTGCTTCTCCCTCTCCCACTCCCCCTGCTTGTGTTCCCTCTCTCGCTGTGTCTCTCTCTGTCAAAAAAGAAAATAAAATCTTAAAAAAAAAAAAAAATCCCCACAACAGGAGTAAAAGCTAGGCATTTTATTTAGCTTAGCCAATAAAAGTATGGGCTCCACCCCTAATTGGTTGTGTTGGCTGCTTGGATGGTGAGGATGTTGATGAAGACAAAGCCTAGGGGTTAATAGGCACTTCCCTGGGAGGGATGCCACCTCATTCCTTTGTACCAAGCTGCTTCCCAGCTATTAATGGCATATGGATAAGAAGAGAAAACTAACATTTATAGAGTGTGAACTAGAAGTACATTTTGGTACTTTTAAGTAATTATCATTTTACCTTAGTACACGGGATTGCAACATTTTTTTTTGCTCTAGTGCACCCGAGGGACTCACTAAGACAGTGGCAAACTAATGGCAAATATTTGTTGAGTGAAAATGGATTTTAGATAAAATGGACTACCCAGAAAATAGCCTCCATTGTGCTCCACTAAATACATTCACCGTATCACCAGATCAGCATATTGCATTACTTGAGGCCTGAATGAGATTTAAGGCAAGTGATAAAGTGAGGTTTGCTTTCTGAAGCTGAGGCTCCCCTGGGGAATTGGGGTGGGGGTGGGGGGCGTTGTTCACCAGTAGCATCTGATGGCACTCTCCGAATGGAACACAAGTTTAAAGAAGAAACTGCTTGTGCACAGAGTTACAACTTTGACATGCCTTCCTTTTGTGTCCAGGAAAAACCCTATCGGAGGTTATGTGTCTCTGATCCAGGAGAAGGGACCGTGGTGAAGATGTCGGCCCTCAACTGGAAGCCCTTTGTGTATGGAGGGCTGGCCTCCATTACAGCGGAATGCGGTAAGGAGCCCAAGGGGCCGACTCAGGTCGCTTCCTTGCTGCTCGGGATGTCGGGTTGTCGATGAGAAGTTAAGGTCGCTATCTGGTGTTTGATGTGACTGTGGTTCAAGCACAGCATGTGAGAGCATGAAATGTTAATCTCAGATTTCAAAATTGCCTTCTTTTGGTATGTTTTTCCAACACAGAGTCATTTGGGCTGCCTAGACGTTTAGAGTTCAAAGTTCAGTGTGGAGAAAGTGGAACCTGTTTATCAAACAGAAGGTTTATCAGTCATTTTTAGATCACATCTGTCCCTGTGCTCCTTGTCCTTTCCCCCACTTTGCCCCTGTTAGCGCCTGGGGCCGTAGAGAGTTGGGAGGAGCTCCCAGGTCCTCCCCTGCCCATTAGCCGTACCGTACTTGTGACTTCCTCCTCAGTGGAGTGCCACATCAGATGCCGGTTGTCTTTGTCTATTTCCTGGCATAATTCACTCAACAAATCCTCACTGAGCAGCTGCCAAGTGCCAGGTGCCGGGCTGGACCCGTCTTGTGCTTCCAGGGCTCGGTCACTGCTGTCCTGGGACAGGGGCTGCCCCTGAGGAGCCAGTGAGGAGCAGGGCTGAGGGGTGAAGGCGCGGGAACCACCCACCCCCTTGGTTGCCCGTGTGGGTGGGCTCTCCCATTGCCACGGTTGATCAAGTGTGCTGACAGTGAGTGTTACCTATTTGGGTGGACTCTCCGTGGGGCACCGGATTAAACATTTTTAGCTGCGTGAACAGATTTGCTTTTAGACTGCAGGATACAAAGTGAGACACTCCTTTGGAAAATGAACTTCTCTTTCTTTGTTCATATTGAACCTGATTTTAGCTTTCACAGATGCAAAAAACAGTAACATATTTTAAAATTTCCTGTTTGTGTAAATCATTCCGTGTACGTGTCTTTCACAGCAGTGCAGCCTCTCAGATCCTAGGTAGAGTAGGATGAGAACTACATAAAAACGTAAAGAAAGGAAAATAGGTTTATGCCTCTCTGGGGTCTTTTTAATCTTTTGGTTCCTAATTTTTTTTTAAGTAGGGAAAAGATTGCAAAGTATCTGCTATCTCTTAATAACATTTCTTTTTTTTTTTTTAAGATTTTATTTATTTATTTGAGAGAGAGAGAAAGAGATAGAGAGCACGAGAGGGAAGAGGGTCAGAGGGAGAAGCAGACTCCCCGCCGAGCGGGGAGCCCGACGCGGGACTCGATCCCGGGACTCCAGGATCATGACCTGAGCCGAAGGCAGTTGCTTAACCAACTGAGCCACCCAGGCGCCCAATAACATTTCTTAGTTTACATTATAGTTGAAATGTTTCCTCAGTAATAGATCACCATGTATCCTTTATTTAGTGGAATTTCTTCTTACCAAGTGAAATATTTCTTTTTAAAAAAATTTTAAGGTACTTTTCCAATTGACTTAACGAAGACACGGCTCCAGATTCAAGGCCAGACAAATGATGCAAACTTTAAAGAAATCAGGTATCGAGGAATGTTGCATGCGTTAGTGCAGATAGGCAGAGAAGAAGGGCTGAAAGCTCTGTACTCAGGGTAAGTAGACCTTTGTGTTTTTATATTTGACTATTGACCTTCCAAATGAATAGACTGAAAACTAAGGCTTCATAGAGAAAAAGTAGAAATTTGAGATATATTTGAAAAGAGCAAGTAGTTTGCAGATTTTTCGTTTTTCATTTCGGCTTTATTTTCTATATATCTTTTATGTAATGAACGTTGTGGTGAAAGTATGTTTTTATTATATTCAAATATAGATAATAATGCAAAAATTACATTTGTTTCCAAAAAACATTCCATAATTCGGTGTTTCACTCTGAAAAAAGCCCTTCCCCTTGGCTATTCTGAATTACTGAGGTTTTTGCTATAAGGAAAATGACAGAGTAGCCTCTGTGGGTAAGGGCTGTGAACAACTTTTCTTTACAACATTTAGGGAACAGTGTGAAGGTGCGGGATGGGAAAGTGAGTACGGCAGGTGCCTACGTCAGCCCGAGTCCCTGCAGAAAACAGAATTGGCTTGGGTGGTTTCAGTGAGGAGACCTTAATGAAGGCACTGCTTAAGGGCTAAGGGAACAAAGGAGGGATATTGAGGTACCTAGAAACTGTCCAAGTGAGAAGCTGGTGCCAACCCTAGGACCAAAGAACAAGGACGGGAGTGGTGGGGGCAGAGCCTGTTAAGACTGGAGCCTGGAAGGAGCGAACAGTCGTTGTGGAGGGATGCTTTGGTAGTGCCCAGGGAGAGGAGAATCCCTCTTCTTCCTGCCTCCCTCCATCCCATCGTCTACTGGTGGAATCCACCTGCAAGCCAGCTGGCAGGGGAACCTGAATGACGTAATCCGTGGGCACCGCCCTCTCGGCGCGCAGAGCATCACAGAGCAGGTTAAAAGACTGGATCTGGGAGGACAGATGGGGATCAGCAGCAACACACGGGCGTGAAGGAGCTGTCATTTGGGGGGGACAGCAGACGTGGGAACGGGGGATACAGCAGAGTCTGACAGTGAGTACGGGAATGTGGTGGGGGCAGGGCGTCAAGCCCAGAGTGTGGGGGCAGGAGAGAGGATGGGTTTCAGGAAGGCTGCTTGATGTAGGCGGCGCCCGGGCTGCGCTTGCAGGATCGAGAAGAGTGGGTCAGCCAGGGGAAGTTAGAAGGGAACTGTATTTATACAGAGCCAGTAGAATGTGCAAGAAAGCACAGTACATTCTACGAACTGCAAGTAATTGGGCGTGGGCATAGCGTGGGGGCTGGTGAGCAGTAAGGGCTGGGGTTGGAGCCGCAAGGAGGGGTCAGGACACGGACAGCCTCAGGACGGGCCGAGCATTCTGATCTCATCCGCTACACCATAGGCCCCAAATCTGGGCCTCACAGCCCTCCCACCCACCCATCACCAAAGGTTTTTGTTTTTCACTTGGGCCAGTATTTCAGCTATGAGAAATTGCACACAGAAACCTGGGATTCCATTTTCTTGCAAAAAGTCAACATCTGGGCCCACATTCCTTCACTTAGGATAATAGGAGCAGGCATCAAGGAGGCCTTCTCTGGTTTCCTGAAACCTCAGCCTCTCACGCGGTGTATGTGTGTGCAGTTGGACCCAGCCTGCGTCAGTCACTTAAGGCATCTGCCTGGCACCGGTAGGCACTTGAGTTTGCTATGCCTGTGGCGGACAGAAGCTACTGGGGGGCTTTAAGTGCGAGACTGACAGGCTAGGGTTTCCATGGTGAAGAGAAGCCGTCCTGTCGTGGGGAGACGGGATGAAAGACTGATGACACTGGAAACAGGCTGTCGTGCCAGAAGCAGGATCTGAACAGAGGTGCTGTGTTGGGGACAGAGAGAAAGAAGACAGGCTGTTTAGGGCGTAGGGTTGACATATTATGGGACCTAATATATGAGGGGGTGTGGAGGAAGCAGGGGACAAGGCTAATGTCTTGATTTCTGGTTTGGGCCAAAGTGTAGATGGAGCTTCCATTCCCTGGTCTGGGAAGCAGAGGAGAGCTGATTGGTTGGAACGGGAGGATAGTGAGTTCAGTGTGGGACTCTGGATCCGGAGGTGGGCTGGGGGTAGGACATGCGCACTGAGAAATATACCAAGCAGTTGGAAGCGCATCGTTGGATCCGTGTTGGAAGCAGGAATTAGGCGTCCTGAGTCTCTGACAGTGGTGGCAGCGTGGGAATGTGTGGGGAGTGGGGAGAGAAGGAAGCACAGGACGGAATTCTGGGGATCCCCCCGATGACAGCAGTAGGAGGCTGTGGAGAAGAGGAAACGAACAGGAGAGGGGGCTGTTACGGAGCTCAGGGAGGAGGTGGCTGCGTGGAGGACAGAGGGTGGCCAGTAGCAAATACCACAGAGAGGTTGTGTAAGGTACTAAGTGGAATGCATCATTTAATTTAGTGACAGAGTTGTCAACTGGTCACCTCAACTGAGGCAGTTTTGATGGAGAGAGGGGGAGGGAAGGCAGACTGCATTTCGAGAAGAGGTGGGAAGTGCAGGAACAGCGGATGGATAACTGCCCCAGGGTGGCTCTGCTGTCCGGAAGGCTAAGAGAGGGAGACGAAATGACCGGAACAGGGCCTCCCACGAGGCGGGAGATGAGCTCCAGAGCAGCAGTGGAAGAATGCTAGATGCTTGCCGAGGGCAGATTTCACCGGGCGCTTTGTCCCGAGCAAGGAGAGCCTTTTCCCTTGAACACCGGTGAGCAAGTTAGAACTCCACATGCACTTAACTTTTCATTAAGGGTAACTACAAGGGGTTGAGCTTTCACTTCGTGAACTAATAATTGGCACAAATTTAACTGAACCAGCTATATTTTTGTTGGATCTTGAATTGTGAGAAATCTGGTTTAGCGTAGTTTGATTGTGGAAGGTACACGGTTGCATATGTGTGTGTGTGTGTCTTCTAGAGGGTTTAAAGTGATTTTTAGGATTTCTTTGTTCTTTTGTACGTTGGTTTGACAGGATTGCCCCTGCGATGTTACGCCAGGCTTCCTATGGCACTATCAAGATAGGCATTTACCAGAGCTTGAAGCGGCTGTTTGTTGAACACCCAGAAGGTGAGTGGGGAATCTCTTTTCCACTTGTGGACAGGAGGTGGGGGGGTTGTGTGTCTTTTTAGTCAAGGCAAGATCAGATTTTCTTGAGCCTGATTGTGACTTTACTGCTGAGGAGAACTCTGGATGTAAAGTCTGAATGAATGGTGCTTAAAGCACATCGTTCTTAGCTGAACTTAGGGGAGTGACAGTTAAAAGAGCAATCTTAACAACTTTTTAGTTATCCTCATCTCCAAAACACCCAGACTAGAGGGTGTGTTACTGCAGTTCGAGCCAACTTAAAAATTCTAAAATCAGGAATTATAACCTGTTTTTTCAGGAAAGCAGTGAATACCCTTCTTAGTATTAAGAACTGAATTCTAATACTCTATTGCTAGTTGACTCTGTGACTTTGCTTTAATCCGTGGAACTTTTTTTTTTTTTACAATGGGATGAGCGCTAGTCAGCTGTTTTGTGAGAGTGGTCAACAGGAGGAGCTAAGATGCTTTAGCACTTCGGTATATTTCACATTAAATAAATACAGTGTGCTTTAAAACTTTTATCTTCTCGGTATCTCCTAGGAGTGTACCTTTTTTTTCTTTTTTAAGATTTGTTTATTTATTTGAGAGAGCGAGCATGCGCACGCACGAGTGGGGGGAAGGGCAGGTAGAAAGAATCTCAAGCAGACTCCCCGCTGAACATGGACCCTGACATGGGCTCGATCCCAGGACCTTTAGATCATAACCTGAGCCAAAATCAAGAGTTGGACGCTTAACCAAACTGAGCCACCTAGGGGCCCCGGGAGTGTATCTTTTTTATTCTCCTGTGGGATATGCCTCATCTTAATTACTACAGTGGTCTGCATTTACACACACAAAAGTGAATTGGTACATGGTTGTTCACTTTGCATGATAATTCACATTCCTTTTTTGGATATCAAGTCATTTTGCTAGGCAAAATCCTGTTAAACCAGCAAAATTCCTGATATTTTAAAAATTGCTTGATTCAGGGCTGCCTGGCTGGCTCAGTCAGTGGAACATGTGACTCTTGATCTTAGGGTCATAAGTTCAAGACCTGTATTGGGTATAGAGATTACTTAAAAAAAATAAAAAATCTTTAAAAAATTGCTTTATTCATAAAATAGAAATTTTACTATTCTCTGAAGAGGTACAAGTGGCATGTACGAGTTACACCTATATTTGAGCGACTGATATGAAGAGCTCTGTGTATACGAAAAGTTGAATAATATGTGTTTGTTTATAGATGAAACTCTACTGATAAATGTGGTGTGTGGAATTCTCTCTGGAGTCGTATCCTCAACCATTGCTAATCCAACTGATGTTTTGAAAGTAAGCAGTACGATCCATATCTTATAGGCATACCCCACATTTTCTTACTGAGAACAACATTCAGATAATGAAAAGCTGCAAATAAAACATACACTGTATGTGTGATCTTGTTTATAATTTAAGTGCCATGAAGACTCTAACTTAGAAACATCCACTGGATGGATTTCCCACTGATATGGAGGAACTCAAAAGTAGAGCTCATTGTGGAGACAAGGTTTTTGGCGATTAAGCAGAAAAAAAATTGGGGCTTGGATACATTTGAATTTCATTTTTCATTGAAAATCTTCCAGGTTTTATTGGTTCATTAAAAATGGATGGGCTGCAAGTTCTACACAAATCTGCTCACTAATGACCATTTCTGAACATATGATGTTATCTGTTAACTTGATTTTAGGAAACACCAATGGAAATATTTCCTTACCACAGTTAGACATATAGCATTGGATGACCTTGTTGCCGATACCAGAGATACGGCCTCCTTAGATCCTTTCTGGAAAAAGACAAGGAAATAAACTAATTAAACAAAATAGAAATTAGGCAGGACTTACTTTTTCTTTTCTTTTTTTAATTTTTATTTATTTGAGGGGGAGAGAGAGAGAGAGAGCGTGAGCAGTGGGGAGAGGGAGAAGCAGACTCCCAGCTGAGCAGGGAGCCTGATGCGGGGCTCAGTCCCACGACTCCAGGATCATGACCTGAGCCGAAGGCAGATGCTTAACCGACTGAGCCACCCAGGCGCCCAGGATTTGCTTTTTCAATGCTCTGAGGATGTTTGTCTCTGTCCCTCCTTCTCCTTTTTTGTTCCTGTTAGTTAACCAGTGTTCACTGCTTCTACCTTCTACCACTTGATGTACTACATGCTTAGAATCCAAAAATGAGTAAGATAAGGACCCTGCCCTCAGAGCCTTCACTCTAATAGGAGATTGTGACAAACATCAGTGGTATGTGGAGCACACTACACCTCTGCACAGTGAAGGTGCAGCACATGTGAAGGTGCTTTTGCTAGGATTTTGTTGGGGAAAAGTGGAGAAAAATATCCGTACGCCTCTTAATACCTTAAACATTTGTCGGGGCTCATAGAAAGGCAGTTCCTGTAGTTTGGTTTATTTTCCCATGGTAGCATGGCAGTAACACTTTCTTTTAGAAGTTAGAGATAATTGCTTTCTAAACAAAAATAAGTTACCAATTTTTAATGAGAAAACCCTTTAAAAAAATGTAGAGAGCTACATCAAACATTATTTTTATGTTGGAATCTCGGTCATATGAATTCCACAGCCGTTGTCAAGTTTATTTGTAAGTTCAAGTGTAACAGAGTGTGACGGGCATCATGTGGTCATCTCGTGCTCAGCTCGCCTGCATACCTTTTGGTTCAGCTGGTTGGAAATAGTAGTGGCTTGAAGTAACTACTTTAAGAAATATGCTTGTCCATGCTTAGTGCTGCCAAGTGTGCTGGATACTCTTATCAATTATGTGAAATCTTAGCATACCGTCACATTCTCTTTTCCTGTTCAGTAACTTGCAAGGAAATATGTCATTTTCTTTCCTTTTCAAAAGACTACTTTTAAAAATCCATCTTTTGATTCCAAAGTGCCTCAGAACCAATCCTTATGAATGTTAAATCCTTATAAATCCTACAAAGGGCGTTTTAAACTAGCATTACAGTCCTATTTATACTGCGATTCTTTCAATGGTTAGTAAACAACAGATTGAATGATTTTCAGAAGTCTACATTCGGAGAGAAATGTGCTTTCCTTCTCATGTTCGTCTTTAAAATAATCTCTAGATACGGATGCAAGCACAAAGCAGCACCTTTCAAGGTGGAATGATAGGCAACTTCATTAACATTTACCAGCAAGAGGGAGCAAGGGGACTGTGGAAGGTAAGTCCGCAAAACAGAGCCAACTTCCTTACTTAGTTCTTCCCCGTTTTCCTTCTTTGAATTTATTTTTCCTATTTCCATCCTCTTATTTAATCCGAATGTCAAAATGGTGTACGGGAAGAAGAGTGACGTCCACCCTCGAAGTTCCTTTCTTTCTTAATTTCATTACCTGTGAAATGGGAATACAAAGAATATGTCATAGTTTTAAAGTGCCTTTTGACTAATTCATGCATAAGAAAATCTGTGAAGATTGAGCACTTTTTTGTTTGTTTACTTGCAAAAAAAGGGGAAGTGTTTTCTAGGTTCTAGTTATGCTGGATTTTTTGATCTGTGGGGGTTCTTGGTCCTTAAGTGAAGACCGTTAATAGGCAGGCGCTGGTATGGAGTGCTGTTCCCTGGTAATCTAGTCACCCGTCAGTTCACAGAATATACCCGAAGGGTCATCCAGCAGAGTGCTCTCAGTATGTACTAGGAAACCGGAGCCTCTGTGAGGCGACTTGGCCTGGCCAGGGTCTGGCCAAGGTCATACAGTTAGTGCCAGATCAGAACTGGGCATGGGAGCTTCTGAGTTCTTTACCCTCTGGTCTTTTCTACTCTGTCACTCTGTAGTTTTTTTCAAGGCTTGTTCCATGGAGAGCTGTCTGAATCTTGGTTATTCGTATTTTTACCCAGGGCGTGTCCCTTACGGCCCAGAGGGCTGCCATCGTTGTCGGCGTGGAGCTTCCGGTCTATGACCTCACCAAGAAGCATCTGATTCTCTCGGGCCTAATGGGAGACACTGTGTATACCCACTTGCTGTATGTTTAGAGATTTAAAAAAAATGATATTTTAGGGATACATGAGTTCAGGGTGGCAATTTGCTATAAATATATAGAAATTTTAAAGTTTTATTATAAAAGTATTCTCATATTTGAAAAATTACAATTCAGAAGTGAACCAAGAAAAAGTAAAAGTCCTTATCTGTTTACATAGGTAACCATGGTCAACAGCTTGGTTTTTAGGTACATGCAAATATGTTTATAAACGTATATTATGTGTACATGTTACACAAGCAAGATCATGCTTAACATTCTCTTACTTTTTATTTATATTATTTCAATTTTTTAGCTTTATTGAGGTATAACTGACAAACTTGTGAGCTATTTAAAGCGTATGACAGTGAGCTATTTAAAGCGTATGACATAATGATTTGATACGCATACACAGTGTGAAAGGATCTGCCCCCCCCCCGAGTTCATTAACATATCCATTACCTCGCATATTTATCCTTTTGTGTGTGTGTGTGAAAACATTTAACTTGTACTCTCTTAGCAAATTTCAGTTATATGATAGTGTTATCAGCTATAGTCACCTGTTATATGTTAAATCCTCAGACCTTGTTCATTTTAGAGCTGAAGGTTTATGCCCCTTTACCAACCTCTTCTGATTTCCCCGATCCCTCACCCCTTGCAACACTTTTCTACTCTGTTTCTACGGGTTCTGTTTTTTGTTTATAGATTCCACATATAAGTGGTACCATACAGTATTTGCTGTTCTTACTTGCTTTTTTAAATTTAATAATATATTCCAAATATCTTTCCGTGTCAGTACAAACAAATTTCACGTATTTTTAAATAGCTGCAGGTTAATATGGTTGTATCATGGTTTCATCCACTGAGGCGTGATTTTGCCCCTCAAGGGACCTTTGGCAATTTCTGGAGACTCTTCTGATTGTTAGGATTGGGGAGTGCTGTTGGCACCTGCTGGGTGGAGGCCAGCAGCTTACAGTGCACAGGTCAGCCCCCCACAACAGAGACTTGCCTGGTCCCAAAATATTAGGAGTGTGGAAGTTGAGAAACCCTGCCCGGAGCTGACTGATACCAAGTGCGGTCTTAGTCTTGTGAGACTGAAAGTTTCGTAGACGCGGAGACCCCTGGGGGGCATTACAGTGAGACATCTTTTTCTCTGCTCTCCAAGAGCGGTACGGTTGTGATGGGGCTAAAATTACTCTGAGTCCTGCTTATAGCAAATAGATGCAATAGATCGTCGTTGGAGGACATTCCTTCATGTTTCTATGATTCTTTGACATTCTGGAACCTCAAAGGTATTCTTAGTCGGGGCCGGAATTTGTAAGCCACTGTAATGAGTGCCGTATTTAAGAAGTTTGTGCAGCGCTCTAGTGATGGACCTTCTCCTGGAACCCTTTCCTCTTGTTACATGTCACTTTGGCGTCATTTGGGAGGAGGCTGCTTCCTGCTTCTGATGGCGGTGGTTGCGGCTCAGTGGTGGCAAACTGTTTGTTTTTCCCTTGGTATCTTTTTTCATAGCTCAAGCTTCACCTGTGGTCTGGCTGGGGCGCTGGCCTCCAACCCCGTCGACGTTGTGAGGACACGGATGATGAATCAGAGAGTCCTTTGGGACGGCAGGTGTTCTGGCTACACAGGTACCCTGGACTGCTTGTTACAGGTGAGCGTGGATGTGCCCCTGGCAGGGTCCTGAAGTCCTTTCCCAGCTCCTTAGTTTACTTGTCCCCCCCGAAGAGTTTTCTTATCACGATGAAAAACACAAGGGTTAGAGCAAGACAAACCTGCGGGTTTGTCACTTGTGATTGTGTGACTTTGGTCAAGGTACAGATTCTATACCTCAGTTTCCTCGTAAGTGAAATGGGACAATAATAGCATGTATGTCATAGAGTTATTGTAAAAAATTGAGATGCCTACAAAACAGCGTAGTGCTTGGATTCATGTGTAGTAAGTCTTGTTAGTATAATTAATAATAATAGGGGACACTTAATGAAATAAGCAAATTTATTTTACTTAATCTTCAATATTCTAGTGGTTTGTTTCAGTCATTGAAACTGCCCCCCAAATATGTGTGTGGGTGTGTGTGTGTGTGAATGTAGACATACATATTCATACACACACTTATTTGTATACATCTATTTAACCGGAGAGGTAACTAAATTTTGGGGGCTATTATAATGAACATGAATGATGCTCTAAAGCCCTGGGATAGTACCCAGTTTGGGCCACACTGGGGCTAACTTTGATAAATACAGAATCTAGATGAATCTTTAGAAATGAAAGTGTATTTCCTTTATACCGCGGCTCTGCTGTAAAGGTAGAGAAAATAGATTTTCTGCCATCACAGTGGAACTGTCTCCTTCCAAAGTGTATCTCCCTCCTCTCGAGTCCTACTGGAACGAATATCATTCATTCGGACATCTCTCAGAAGAACACATCACTCTTACTGTAATTTTCAGTTTAAACAGTGGGGCCTCCTGTTCATGAGGGGATGCAAGTTCGTAGCTGTCTCCCCGACTAGATTGCCGGTAGCCGAGGATCCGGGCCCCCTTTGCTGTTCCTGCCCTCTGGCGTGATGCTGGCACAGCCTAGATTTCAGGGGCTTCTTCAGCGGAGCAGAGATGCATGTTTTTATCCACCCAGTGACGTGAAGTAGCGGTGGTCTGAATTAGGTCTTTACCACCATTGCTTCACTTCTTTATTTCCCACCTGCTTATGAGTGCATGGGGCCAGGAGGCAAGGGACTCCAGTTGGGATTCAGTCTCATTTCTCGCTCTTCCAGCGGCCATTTGTCTGCTTGGGCATGGGCTGGTTTGACACGGAGCCTTTGTCTTCTCCCATGCAGAATCCTTTAAAGAACAAAAAGAGGCAGAGGGCAGTGAGGTTTTAAAGTCTTTTCAAACAGGATTTTGTTTTTAAGAAAAATAGATCATTCAGTCTGGCTACTAATGAATTATGAACGCATTTGACCTAATTGGAAAGTTGGAAGTTAACTTGTCCCCCCTCCCCCCCCACCTTAGACATGGAAGAATGAAGGGTTTTTTGCTCTCTATAAAGGATTTTGGCCAAATTGGTTGAGACTTGGTCCTTGGAATATCATTGTATCCTTTTTTGTCGCAGTACATCTGAAAAAAGATGTAGCTAAAAGAAGATTGTATAAACTGTCATATAATTAATGATAATTTAGAAGTGGCTTTTTATTCTTTTGAGTTCCTCTGATTCTAAGAAATAATGATTCAGTTTCTATCTCAGCAGGTATAAAATCTCTGTGCTGGGCTATATGACTCTTGGTTTAGTGCTGGTGTTATTGAAAGGGACTGACATCAATACAGATTTCTATTCAAACTCAGTTTTCGAAGCTGAGAATACTTACGAGTAGAGAGAGAGACAGGGATTGATTTGATATCCCTAGCCACCCTTGGGAAAGATGCGGTTTGGCAGCAGTATTCTAGAATGCTTATTTTAGAAAGTGCCTGCAGATAAACAGGAATTAGCTCCTGAATTATTTGGCCGATTAGCACTGTTTCCTGTATGCCAAAGTGGGGGGGAGGAAAGAAGCGGTGGTTCACTAGACACGGAAGGGCAGAATTATAAAGAAGGGAATGTGGTTTTCACCATCCCCGTTTCCCTTTATCTGCCCCTCCCCGCTGCTGAAGGCCTGCCTCACCGTGACCCTTGGGGAGAGCTTCCCAGGGCTTGCTGTCTTTCTGTTTCACACAGAATTCACTCTTCTGGAAAGTCTGCCCACCACAGCGGTCGCCAGAGCTATTCAGGGGGGATGTCATCTTCGAAGAGGCTCTGGGAGCTGGTGTGAGGGGATTTAGAGATCTCCGCTGTGGTGGTTCTGTTCCAGGCTGACCTTGGGAAGGCTAATGGGAAGATCTTTTGAGGTGGGTAAGGATGGAGCCCCTCATGTTCAATCCTGTCCAAGGCACGTGGTCTGCCCAGACATATCTGTTAAATGTGCTGTCTGTGAGTCTGTTTTTATGTGTCCATGGTGTTAAGACAGCATCTTCTTTGTCAGCCTTAACCAGTAACTGCAGTTCTTTGTGACATATGAGCAGTTGAAGAAATTGGATTTGTGACAAGTCAAGGCTGCCTGAGACAGCGCTCTGCAAACGCTCCCTTTCCGAAACAATAAAGCTTCCTGCGTGTCACGCTGCTTCTCACTGCTTGGTTCATCACAGATTCTGAAGCGTGAGCAACAGATGAAGATGGGGTTAGTTCTGGTTGCTGTGTGTGGGCAGCTGTGCCTCAGATGTTTCATGCTAGAAACGAACATCCGAACACTAGTCCTTACCATGCAAGTGCCCTTTGACTCCACGACCGCATGTGGAACGCATGTTTCTTGCTAAAGAAAACTTGCGAGAAGATCAGGAACTGTGTGTCATTTTCTTCAGGGGAGAGGAGCCCCTGTTGTGTCTCAGCTTACAGCTGAGAATGCCACACTGCTCTGGAGAAGCTTATAGGAGCCATGGATTGGAGCCTCCAAGAGGGTGTTATTGTTCCTGAACTTGTGGGGACTGTCACTTCTTGTCAGCTGAAGAAATTTCACAAACTTTCAACTTCAGGTGTAAACAGTGCAGGAAATAGATCCTTGGAATATTGCACTGCTTTATAATTTCCGATTTTGGCAGGATCCTTCACTTACAGTAAGTGATTTTCAGCCTTTGAAGGCTTGACCTTTGTGAGGAGTTGTTAGAAAGTATTGATCTCTAAACCCGTGACGGTGTGATGTGTTGGCTTTGAACATGGCAGGATCCACGTTGATGGAAGATCTTTGAGGCAGCTGGGGTTCAGTCTTAGGTAATGTTAGCACTTTGCTCCAATTTTTAGCAAAGTTTATTATTTCTCAGTCTGTAAAATGGGGATAACAACCTCTCTTGATGTTGAGGGTCAAATGAAGACAAGAGTAGCTGGTAGTACCTGCCTGGAGGGTAGACGTTGTACCTCAGCCGTGCTGTCGTCCCGCCAGAATCCCGGCATCAACGGGCTGGTGTACAGAAGAGAGTGGTTTCGTGACAGGATTCTCACTGGAATCCCCAGCAAAGGCCCTCGCCAAAGGCCTTGTGAAAAGAGAGAACACAGTCTATGTTACAGTTTTATTATGTTTTCCTTTAGCAAGATGTTGCGAGTGAATAGAAGAGTTGATTTTTCCAGATTTTTCAGTTTTTACTTTAGTTCAGGTTATGTCTATTAAGATGTGTCCTGTCTCGGACTTCCTGTTTGGTTTTGGATGGAAAACACTTGCTTGAAATTTTAGAAACTATCTCTTTAGTGCTGCACCCGTTTTCCAGTTTCGGGAAGAGGTATATAGTCTCTTCCTTTCTTTCTCCAAAGACAACAAAAATCATTTTCCCTCTTCTTTCTTGCCTTCATCTTGTTCTTTTCAGAATAAAAAGTGACTCCAAGAGCCTGAAGAACTTTTACACTTCTAGAAAACAGCCCAGAGAAGGGGACATAGTTACTTGGGTACCTTCAGTTCTACCGTTTGAGAACATTGAGTACACACTGACGGGGGCTCTGGGGTGGACCCTTCTGCAGTATTAGGCAGGCAGGTTTCCAGTTTGTTCTTGCCATGGGTCACCACCTCCCTTGAACCCAGAATCGAAGGCGTGTAGGTTTTTTGGGGGGATCGAGCCGTTTTCCTGCCAATCACATTCATGTTGCTTCTTTATATTAATGTCTACTTTAAAAAAGATTTTGTGAGGCAGAATTGTTATTTCCAAACTAGAGACAAAGTCATTAAAAAGAGAAAGGAAGGAGTGGTGGATTGGTGTCTAGGTGTTTATTGATTAAAGACTTAGTTGAAAGTCCAGATCCTCGGGCCCACTCTAGATGTGACTGCAGAGCTGAGCTCACTTGGCCCTGCTCCTGGTACTGAACCGGAGATTTTTTAGACGGAGATTTTTTTTTTTTTCTTCCTACCAAAACATTCCATTAACCTGGTCAGGGCTTTCTCAGAAAGGCTTTCACTTTTGAGTTACTTGAGTTTAGAGGATTACTTTTTAAGAACCACTTTTTTTTTTAAAATGAAGAAAACATATTTTTTAAGTGTACATATAATTTCTAAAACAGTAGAAGCAAGTCCGTTTTGAAGACCACGTAAAGGGTCAACGTTCATTGTATCAATTTATTCAAATTATGTACATGTTCATACCAGAATGAAAAGAAGCTCAAACCTCACTATAAAACTTGATCATGTTTTTAAGACAAAAATGGAGTCTTTCTCCAGTGTCGACTTATTAAACATGTTCTATAGAACAGGATCTTAACCTGTTTTGGTTTTTCTGCTTCCTGAAGGAGTTCATGCGAGAGAGAACTTAAGGACTTGGAGACCCAGTCCCCTTATTTTTGGGGGTGTGACTGCAAGTCCCCCACCCCCTTGGATATTGCTTAAATGTGGCAAAAGGATTTTCAGCTTTTATGACTAAAATGAAGATAATGGATTTTGTTTGCTTGTGGGTTTGTGTAATCATCGATGCTGAATGTTGCTGATCTGTATATAAAAATGGTTCCTGTTCTCTGTATTTATTCATGAGCTAGAAATAGTATGTATTATGTAAAGACTATACATTTTTCATAAGCCTTTATAACTCAAGGTCTTTATTTAAGCATTGTTGGACTATGTGGCATAAACCTTGCTCATTGTTTAATAAACTAGAATAATACATAATGATCCAAATGATTTGTGGTTATTTTGGATAGAGACCTTTAAACAAAGACAAGCTCCAAAGAGTCCAGAAGGTTGGAGTAGAAATACATGGGACTCCTCATGGAGAGTATTTGCAAGAGAACTGAGAAAGCGCCCCTTTTTCCCCGACTCTCTTTTTTTCAATAAACCACCATGTTTAATTCAAATGTTAATAAGACAGGCACCTAGAAGAAAAAAGATATGTTTTTTATAATCTTATGGATGAGGTTTTATTTTTTAATTTTAATTTTTGTTTAAGTAAGCTTTATGCCCAATGTGGGGCCTGAACTCATGACCCTGAGATCAAGAGTCACATGCTCCACCGACTGAGCCAGCCAGGTGCCCCAAAAATATTTTTCAGCGAAAAAATTAATGACCTAGTTTGCATGTCATCCCCTGGCTCTTCTATGCCAACCAGAGGCGCCTCATGGAGAAGTTGTTGGGGTCATCTTTTAATTTTATTTTTTTAATTTTAAGATAATCTCTACACCCAATGTGGGGCTCGAACTTACAACCTGAGATCAAGAGGTTCATGCGCCCCAGGATCATCATCTTAATTGCCTGGACACCTGTGTCACGTCCCACTATATGAAATCCCAGTAGAGGCCAGTGACTTTGATTCATGGACTGGCTCGGAAAGGTCCCTCGGAGATGCAGAACACCAGGGTGATGACATGAGTGCCTTGTGCCTTCAGGTTCCTTCAGTCCTTCCAGTGTTTGGTGTCGGCTAGAGACAGGGGCTGGGATGTTTTGTTAACTGTGGATCAGGCAAAGGCGCCTCTGTTTGTTTAAGCTTACTTAAACAAAAATTAAAATTAAAAAATAAAACCTCATCCATAAAATTTTTTTTTTTTAAAGATTTTATTTATTTGAGAGAGAGAGCACGAGAGGGAAGAGGGTCAGAGGGAGAAGCAGACTCCCCCGCTGAGCAGGAAGCCCTATGCGGGACTCGATCCCGGGACTCTAGGATCATGACCTGAGCCGAAGGCAGTCGCTTAACCAACTGAGCCACCCAGGTGCCCACCTCATCCATAAAATTATAAAAAACATACCTTTTTTCTTCTAGGTGCCTGTCTTATTAACATTTGAATTAAACATGGTGGTTTATTGAAAAAAAGAGAGTCGGGGAAAAAGGGGCGCTTTCTCAGTTCTCTTCCCTCAGAGATTAAATGATGTACAGGATTGACTTCATATGAAGGTTAGTGAGAACCACTGGCTACCGGCATTTCTCAAAGGCATGTGGACAGTAGAACCCTCATGCGCATTATGGTACCTGGTGATTTATTTCTAAATCTGGCAGCTGGGAAAATAAGACACTAAATTTTTGGTAGATTATAACTAGATCCATTCTGAATTAAAACATAGGAATACAAGACAAGGGCAGTGTGTATAAATAGATTTCTTGAAAGCTTGATGCAAATAATAGAATGAAGAGCAAAAAAAACCCTGGAAACTACCTACATGTCTGTATGTCCCCTGCTTAAATAATAATCCATACAGTGGCTTACTATGTTGCTCTTGAGAAGAAGGAGTTAGATCTCAGCCTGCTGACTTGGAATGATGTCCATGATAGGTTATTAAGTAGGAAAAAGTTAAGATGCAGGCTCCTGTGTATACCATGGACTCTTTTAGGGAAAAAAGCAAACTTAATGTTTGTAGGGAATGGATTTAAAGGGTGTGTATTAGAGTTCTCCAGAGAAACAGAACCAGCAGGGTGTGTCTGTGTCTGCGTGTGTATACATAAATGATTTATTTTAAGAGATAGGCTCATGCAACTGTGGGGGATTGGCAAGTCTGAAATCAGGAGAGCAGGCCAGCAGACTGAAAACTCGGGATTTCTGTTATGGTCTTTTTTTTTTTTAATTTTTTTTTTAAAGATTTTATTTATTTATTTGACACAGAGAGGGAACACAAGCAGGGGGAGTGGGAGAGGGAGAAGCAGGCTTCCTGCCAAGCAGGAAGCCTGATGTGGGGCTCAATCCCAGGACCCTCTGAGCCAAAACCAAGAGTCAGTTGCCTAACCGACCTAATGACTGAGCCACCCAGGTGGCCCTCTGTTACAGTCTTGAAGTAGAATTTCTTCAGAAAACCTCAGTTTTTTTTTTCTCTTGAAGCCTTTAACTGATTAGACAGGGCCCACCATATCATGGAGTGTAATCTTAAAGTTAACTGATTATGGATGGTACTCACATCTACAAAATATCTTCACAGCGACATCTAGTGTTTGCCATATGATGACACCATAGCCTAGCCAAGTTGACACAAAATTTGACCATCATAGGGTAGAAAGAATTAGAAATATTTTCCTTATACATAATTAATAGGTTTTGGTTTCTCAAAAGCCTGTATTTTGTAATTTAAAAGAAGATATTAACCCAAAATGCAAAAAGGACTAGCTTGGGATACAGATGTCCGATTTATGGCAAGTGGGGGAAAGTGGGAGTTGCAGTATATATAATATTTGATTTATATTTTAAGTATATAATGTTTCTAAAAGTATATTAAATGTCTGTCAAACTTAAAATTGAGCTAATAAGGATGATGGGAAACTTTTGCTGTTTATATCAGTTTTTAACTACTTGCTTTCTATTCAATACACTTAATACTTCTGTGATTAAAAAACAACTTAGCCTTTTTTTTTTTTTTGACAGTGGGGGGGCACCTCTATAAAGAGTGCATCGTGTGGGCTGTGGACTTAACCTCTAAACTACTGGGTTATTTTACATAATTCTTAGTCTTTCTCTGACCATACTGACTCAAGTTATACTGTTTCATTGCATTATATGGTAGAGACAGCTACATTCTTAAGAGGTTTTCTTCATTAATTATAATTAATTATTACAAATATATTGTAAATATT